AAAGGATAATAGCGCGTTCGTTCCCCACCATAGACACCTGCGGTCCAGAGTTTTGCAAATATCTCAGCAACGTTGTGGTCATATCTTGTTTTTTTTTGCGTTTCCTTTGATTTTCGCTAGAACTTCTCATTGCACTTTCTGCTTTGCTGGCTACTTAGTGTTGTTTTTGTTTAAGAATTGTAAGGGCTGAGTCATGCATTTGGAAATCAGGATTAGTGATGAAATGGAAATTCATCATGAGAATATCGTGAGCTTTCCGTCATTCGATGAATAGTAGTGAACAGGTTTTTTTATGTGCTGCAGTTCTTTTAATCTAGCTTTTTTCAGTCGTGATGATGAGGTGCCAATTATCGACGCGATGTCTCAATCGACAATGGCATCTGCCCCAGCGATTCAGCTCTTATTACTGAAGGGCTTGGATTCTACTGATGCAGGTTCTGGTTCTGGATCCGGTATGTGGGTTAAATTGAGAACAGTGCATTTCTGAATTGTTGCTTATTTATTCTCACTGCCTCTCATAGGTCTTCCACTATTGACTCAACGAAATATCGCGAGACAAATTGAACTTGTTCGAGAGATTGGCCAAGGTCGTTTTGGTGATGTGAGTTTTCAGTACTTACGAGAATTTTTTCCGTCATAAGTATATCAAACCATCCTAGGATTCGGAATATGATTGATGCTGTTATTGGTATGGTCCACTCTGTCATTTTTTTCGTCAATAATTGTTTTCGTAGGTTTGGTTGGGTGCTTGGAAAGGCGATCTAGTAGCAGTGAAGATCTTCTCATCAAGGGATGAAGGTTCATGGTTACATGAAGTGGAAACCTTTCAAACACATATGCTTCATCATCCGAATATTTTGCAGTTTTACGCGAGTGATAACAAAGGTAAATTCTTTTCAGGCACCATGGTTATATCAACGTTCTCTGCATATTATGAGTTAGTCAAGGGCTGGGTCGGACAAGGGTTATTTTCTTGGAGTATGTCTGTTCTAGGAGCAAGTGATATTTTTTGTGAAGCATATGAGATTCCAAGAGTAAAAATTGTAGAAAACTGCAAACTACTTTGTTTCTGCAAGGCAAGAGCCTCGATTATTGCAGTGGATAATACATGAGGCCCATATAAAAGTAATCACGGTGTTGAGGCTCTTCTGAGATTCCGCGTTTTGTCAATATCTCAGTATCCTTGTGATTGTATTTCATACAGTACTCTTCAATGAAAAAAGAATGGAATACTCATTTTTAGAAAAGAGAGGAGCAGGAAATAAAATTAAAACCCTTTGTTTTCCAACCCGTTGACGGGTAATTGCTAAATTAATTAAGTATCGTAGTACCCATAAAACAAAGTGAGAGAACGGTGAAACGAAGGACACGCATGATGTGGTGGTGAACGCGGTATGCCCCGGAAAGGGCAATGACGTCTTCGATCCCCACCGCAGACATCTGCGCTTCGGAGTTTTTCAATTATCTCAGCATTATTGTCGTTATACTTTGTTTTCGTTGATAGTTCGTTAGTGGTTTTATGAAAGTGCATTAGTGTCTGTAGTGTGTTAAAATTTTCGATTACGTTTTTTCGATTTGAGTGTCTCCATTTTATCCTGTTGATACGCTGTTATAAACATGACCTTTAGATACGGGTACGACGATGCAACTGTGGTTGATTACGGAGTATCACAGGAACGGGTCTCTTTTTGACTACCTTTCACATTCGGTAGGATTTTCTCTTCAGTTTAGACATGTTTTCCACATGGTTGTTAAATTTCTTCGGTGTTAGTTTTGATAAGTTCAATTTTTCGTCCTCTTCGAAGTTAAGAGTCGACGAAGCTGACTAGTTGTCGCTGATAGAAATTTTCACGTGATAGACGGTATAGACGTGCAGGTCCATACTTGGCGTACTGTATGGCTGGTATGAGCTCCATAGAGATTAATTTTTTCTGATAGTTTGCTTTTTCTCCGTGCAGAACTTTTATCCAACGCGTGTCGTGGCAGTGGTTTATATGGAAATCCCTATTGTGGACTTAAAAATATACAAAATAGTTTTTCGCCAACGAATTCATTGACTGGTAATTTCCCTAGCAATTAACTGTTATTTAGTTCTAATAACTATGATAAATCATAGTTATTGTATGGAATGTTTCGCTATAAAAAATACCGAGGTAGGGTCAGCGTGTTTTGCAAAACACTTGCAAAGGCTAGCAGAAATATGTTTGTATGATGAACCATAGTAACATTTAGTAAATAAAAGCGTATGTAGCTTTCTTTATATCAGTGAGACGATAGAACAGTCTTTTCTACTGCCACGACCGACTTTCTATTAACCTCGGCATTGATCAAGTAATTTTCTTCGTATTTTTGTTGAGCAAACGCGAGGTGTTACTATTCTTTGTTCACGATTAAGCTGACGTTTCGGCGGATTTCGCCTTCTTCAGAGTCTGGAAAGGTCAAGTTGATAGCAATCCACTCGGCCAGACGCCTCCATAACCAAACAAAGAAACTCCAAACCAAGATTTCAATCACTTTGAACACAGCTTTGCACACTCACCGCTTCCTATGAGGTTTCCACTAAGTATGTCACGTAGAGACCAACCGCACAGAAATCACATGGAAGTATAATGTGCCCCTCACATCAGAAAAGCAGTTTTATATACTGCCCTATATCACGCGTGATAATGAGGCATTCTTCCCTGCAGTTCATTTTCGGATTTCTGGAATTAATCCAGAGTGCCTCGAGAGTTTTTCGCGCCTGTGTTCTTGATTCGCGTGCGAGGATCGTGACACATACTTCGAAGTCTTCTCCGTTATGTCTCTGGGTCCTTTGCGTGCCTAGCGGTGTATTTGGTCTATTTTTGCCGGCTAGGTGTTCTTTCATGCGGACACAGAGGGGTCTACCCGTTTCACCAATGTATTCGTCACCACGCGTCTTACAGGAGATCAGATAAACTATACCCGAGCTCATGCAATCACTGTCTCTACCACTGGGGCAAATTATGCAATTTTGAGTTGCACATAGACAGTCATATAGGCGGTTACGAACTAGCTGGCGCTTAAGATTACTCGGTGGTATTTCAACTGCGCTCACCAAATTCTCTAAGCCCGCCCTTCTTAAGCAGCGTTTTATAGCTGTACTTATATCATTTGAGATGAAGGGTAGGATAAACGGGACCCTTCTATCGCTAGAGTTGTCGTTTGGAGGCCTACGATTTCCTCTACACCTATCCTGAGCTACAGTTTCGTAGCCATTAGTAATGGCTATTTGCCGTGCCAAGTTACGGGACTCCTCTCTCTGCTCTCTTCCCGTTCATACGTTGGTTGCTGTTCGAAACATGTTTCTTATAAGCGCCTTTTCGTGTGAGAGGGGTGAGAGGAGAGGTAATGAACCAAGATGTTTTTACTACTTGGCTTTCGGTACCACTTTGTAATGTAGTCATTTTCTGATAGGTGAATTTGTACGTTCAAAATTGGAAGCCATTTTTCTTTCGGCTTTTCTCGCGTGAACTTGATATACTCTGACTGTGCGTTTAACAATTCGAAGCATTTGTCCATTTCCTCTTGTGTTGAGCAAAGGACAAAGCAGTCGTCTACATACCTACAGTAGAGCAGCGGCCCGAGATCAGTCACCGGTGCTTCCACCTTAGACATAAGTGCAATGGCAAATCTTGGAGCCAGTCGTTGTCCCATTGCCAACCCTCTTATTTGAGCGTAGTCTTTTCTACAATTCTATTATGTTGTGAACCATAACATCCGTAAAGACAGAAAATTAGGCGTTGTTCCAAACGGCAACAACAGCATGTGGTAATTGTTTTAGTTTTCACGGACTAACCGGTTTTTAGAAAATGGACGGTAATATTTCGGTAACCGGCAGAGTTGAGGGTTATGAACATTACAGAACTATAGAAGAGACCTTTTTCTATCGTTTCATGGGTACGAATGCTATGTATGCTATTAAATACTATGTGTTACTTTGGCCGATCACACAAACACATTGCTATCAGCCTTTGGAAGCGTTTTTCCAGCCAGTGCTGTGTCTAGTTCAGTCGGTTTTTTTATGACCGTATACTTCATGGAATAACGATGATTCATTATGTCGATTAAAATGAAATAGCGGCTAGTTACTAATCAAATTACCACTTATTGAACTCGTTCGGCAAGCTTCTTTTACTTCTAAGTGTGGAATAAAGATTTTTCTGCTGATGCCAGTCACAACATCTATGTTAGATAAGCTATCGACTGGTTACGAGAATCATAGGAGAAAATTTCTGCTTACAAAAATAAACTACCATGAAGAGGATGAACCATGTTGCGCTCATACCGGCTGCTCGGAGTACCGAATATGATTGCATAGAATGCAGAGCGTCCCTTATGTGTTAGTGTATGAAAAAGTTGAAAACAGTACAACTGCAGACAGTCAATGTGGTCACACTGATAAAAATGGTTCGAGGAATATCTAACGGTCTGTCATTTTTGCACGCAGAGCTTATGGGAATCCAAAGTAAGTTCTTTGATGTGTTAACGGCGAACTTCTGTAATAATTTTATACGCATTCGTCTTCTTTTTTTTTAGGGAAACCAGCCATCGCTCATCGTGATATAAAGAGTAAAAATATCCTTGTTAAATCTGACCTTACATGTGCTATAGCAGACTTTGGACTTGCAGTTCGTTATGAATCAGGACAAATAAGTCTGCCTAACAGTAACAAGTGTGGCACTGTGGTAAGTCCTACTCGAAGGTTATTTGATAATAGAAGTTTCTTTCTACTTGAATCTCTTATATTTGTGGAATACAGCGTTATTTGCCACCCGAAATACTTGATGAGCGGATAGAGTCGAACAAATTCGAGTTTTATCGTGCAGCTGACATGTATGCTGTTGGATTGTTGATTTGGGAGATTGCTCGCCGTACAACATGCCCATCTGGTTGGTTGTTTTTTACGGAGCTCTTTTCTATTTCTGTCTTAAAAGGATAAAACTTTCGGCATTGATCAATCCTTGAGGGATGCGCCATGTCTTCGACTTCATTAAGCATCGTTGGAGTTGAATGAATGCATATCTGGCCTTTACAATGACTCGCGGTGGCCTTCCGATGTATCGAGCCGGTGCTGCTATCCTCCCGGAGAAGTCTAGTACCAATTTGCCAACCCCAAAGGGATGGAAAGCTTGCTGAACCTGTGGCGTGGGGATCGATCCCTTGTGTATTGCAGAGCGCCTGTGACCACTGCGCTATCCAGAAACCCTCTTGCAGTGTTTTTACGATACGTATATTTTTTTGCAAAAAACTGTTCTAGTCTTTCAGACAGTTTTACTTTGCGGAGTGTTTAGAACTGTCCTTTAAAGTAAACAGGATTATACCGAATAATTCCAGGTCTTCCGTCCGAGTTCGCTGAATCGTTGCCGTATTATGATAAGGTATCGAGAGATCCTACAATACAGGAAATGCAAGATGTTGTAGTCACACAAGGAATACGACCTTATGAGTCTCCTCATTGGAAAAATGACAATGTAGGGAACTAGAATTTGGTCACACTGTCGATGTTGTCGAGTTGGTTTTAAGAGTGTGAAAAGAAATTGAAACAAATGTACTATAACAGTTTTGCTTTTTTCTGTCACTGTTACTTCTCTATGTTCACAGGTACTTCGTGATGTGTCACGTGTAATGCGTGAATGTTGGTCGGCGGATCCATCTTCAAGACTAACAGCTATGAACGTCCGCCTTTGTATGGATCGATTGGCGCAGACCGAACTCAGCGTATGCTTATCTTAACATGACTACTAGAAGCTTTACTTTATGCACGTTTTTGTTTCCCTTACTGCATTTCACTTCGAAATCTGTTCTCTAAGCCTGTCGTGTAATGTTACATTGGAGCAGTGCAATAATTTAGATGCTCAGAGAAAATCGAATCGGTATTGGTTGAGTATTTGCAGACTTACTGGAATATGTGAATACTTGTCTTTATGAAATCATGTGGTCGCGAGCGTAATTTCCTCTGAAAACTACTTTACCGGTTAGGTGTTCGACCCTTGTTTGAACCCCAAAAGGCTATTCCTAGTTATCATTCGAGGTAGTTTAGCACTGTGGATTGTTAGGAAGTTTACCATCTCTAAACTGAGTTTCTTTCAGGACATGGTAGATTCCTGATATAGGTTTATTATAGTGGGGTTCTTAATAAAAGTGTTGGAGTTAGATCTTGGGTGACTGTAGAGGGATGGATCTTTTGCAGACAAATGCTTAGGAACATTGTATTAACGCGAGGCAATAAAGCATCAAAAGCTGAGTTATTGATCACTATAGATCCTACACAGGGTTATTTCTACCTTACTACTACTATTTTTTATTTTTTAAACCTATCTTAGAACGCATAACTTTATTTGAAACTAATAATCCGTTTGCAATTATACCCAACTCATTCGGAAGTAGTCGGATATGTGCTGCTCATCTTTAATGTGTACTGAATCTATCTTTGTCGAGTCTTAGGTAGGATTGCTTTCATTTAGTGTAATCTCCAAAGTTTCATCACTTTTTTAAGCGACTATGACAGTTCATAGCTTGTCGGTTTTGAGGTACATATGGCTATTCTATTATGACTATTACAGTTTTTTCTTTTCTTTTCATTGGTAGCTAACGAGTGTTTAAAAAACGCGGTTATTAGGCAAAAAATACGGACTTTAAAGAACTTTATTTCTATTTGATCTCGTCTCTTCAGTAACATCGGTTATCGTCTTATCCTTTTGTTGATCTCAACTTTCTTACGATTCATTTTTGAGATTTGAAAGTCTTCTTAAATTACTATTTTTTTTGATAGTTGTGGTGGATGTATCCTCTATTAATATAATTCTTTCTACTTCTGTTCAGCAAACACGAGGTGTTACTTTATTTCTTTATTTACGTACGTATTTCGGTTGTATTGCGGGTTAGTGCCTTTCTGACGGGCTTATTGTTTGTTAATACTCTTTGTATCATATTTCTCTTTAGTCATAAATTCATTGAAAGTATTGTACTAGTATGTATTCTTTCTTTGATGAGCTTACACGAGGTTGATAATGATGTTTATTTTCGGCTAACGTTTCGACGTTTTCGTCTTCCTCAGAGCCGATGATCCGAGTCGATGGTCCTCGTTTGTTATTCGTCTCGACGTGGCAGCTTCGCCTTCGTGTCGAGTCAGGTCTTCCTCAGTGAGCCATCTTCTCGAATGAGGCATCCTCACTCAGTGATGCCCTTTTATATTGTATTAGTGTTCCCAAAGCTTAAACATGTAAAGGATAGACCGATTAAGCGGAAGAAAGGATCGTGTGAATAAGAAAGTGTCGAAGAAGTAGGTAAAGAAGACCGCGAAAGTTCTTAACTGTGCTGTTGGGAGAATGACTCGGGAATTAGTCTTAGCTAAGCGATACCAGATCGCTCACCATCGGTGTCAACTAAATAGAAGGTCACTATGGCTGCTAAGGAAGCAAACAGGGCATCTAGCGCTGATAAGGTGCTTTGAGTAAAGGGAAGAAACCAGTTCCATAGAAAATGAAGCCACCGAAATCCGTTAAAGCCTCCGCTCCTCGAGTCGGTGGGAAACGTTGATCTTGGGTGACAGAAATTGCTTGTAATAAAACTCAGTGATTTTTAGTTATTTAATTACCCAAGTTCGAGTTATTGCGAACGCTTTACTAAAATAGGGCAATACGAAGTCGGCAGATATGAAAGTCGAGCAGGGTGAATCGACGAAGGTAAAACCCAAAGCAACGCCGCATGTCGAGGTCTACAACGTTATCACAAAGAAATCGTAAGCCATCCGTAACCACAAATCATCAAATTCTGCATAAATAACTCGAAAGACGATGTCGCCGATCGGATTGTACGTCGTGCTACCGAGGAAGAAGATGACTTCAAGATTTTCGTCGATAATCTTTGTTTGACTCAACAAAACAAAGTATCCGAAGCGCTACGAGGTTTTGTGCTTTGCGTATGCGACACACCTACCGACTCTGACGAAATTCAACAGGTAGGTGAAGGTTTCAGTGCATCACATGTACCTTTCCGAACTTACTTTTTTAAACCGGACTTTTTTTTACTGGCAACGTCAATAATTTTTAATTCATTTCAGCCGAAAAACATGAGGAAATTGAACAACCATGCGAATAATAACCGATTCAGGGCAATGTATGATGAGTGGTTGAGCACAGCGAAATAATAGCAATAACTGTTTACAAATGGATTTACAGACAAGGTGGTTCGTATATTGACGCACTTTGGTGGAATTGAAACATTGTGGACATCTTGGTTACTGCATTTCATTTCCATAAGGAGTATTAATAATATTTTACCATAAACAAGAAAGAAATCACAACATAACAATGACTACGTTTGTCGGAAAGCTGCTTAAGAAAGATCGTTAGCTGAATTGACATGAAATGGAAAGTAAAGGAATCGGCTTGATTTCGTTCGATATATCGAATTATGGCAGTACACGGCATGAGATTCAGATGGTGAAGTCTGTGATGAATGAGATTCAGAGAGAAGATTGCTGCTTCCAATCACTAGGTTGTTGTAGTTCTTCGTAACCAAGGCCGTCATAACCGTTCCCACTGTTCACCGTTCTTGCCCTAAAACAAGTAACACGAGTTAGTTATGGGTACTGTAATGACTCAAAATGATGTGTTACAAGCCGCTTTACACCCTGCGACTTATGTTCTGAACAACAACTTCTTGTGACAGTCTTCAAACCAAAGGTGAATACTCAGTATACTGTACAAGTGCTGCAGAAGAACAGTAGAACGACGAGATTGCTTCTGATAGATTATGCAGTGATGGAAAGCCAGCGAAATCTCCACTCAGAGAATGCGTACTCAATGAACGAGAACTGTTCATGGTAGGGAAAGTACAGTGGCTTTTCGGCGCCGTTGGTACACTATTCATAGTGCCTACCTACGAACAACATTTCTGTCGTCGTCCTATTCAAGGAAGTAGTTGTATTGAACGAAACCTCATTTCAACATCTATGGGTTTTCAAGCGATCATGTTAAGCGTTACCTACAGCGTTATCTACTAGCATTAGCGATTTTAAAGTAGAAAACTATGCATGGTTGGAACATACGGTAGAGGTTATTGTCAGTGTTAGTGTTGTGGAATAGCAACGTCACGTTTTCGTCGAAAAACCGTTGAAGAAGAAGACACACGTTCAATGTTGTTGTCGTCCGACTATAAACGGTGTTAGTACTTAGTGAAGCAAAAAGAAAAGAAAAACATCAGAAATGTGATTTTCATTACCCGTAGTCGATGCGAATATTACCCTGAAATTGCTCGGTTGAATAGATGAGAAATCCCGGTTCAGGTTAAGCACAACTGATATGAGACAAGGCTCAATAAGCATAGAGAAAAACTGGGAGGAAAATTCGACAAAAATCTCGAGGCACTCTGGATTAACTCCACGGATCCAAAAATGAACGGCTGGGAGGAATGCCTCATAATCACGCGTGATATTTGGCAGTATTAAGACTGTTGTTTTGATGTGAGAGGCACATTAGGCTTCCGTGTAAATTCTGTGCGGTTGGCCTCAACGTGACATATTTAGTGGAAGATTCCTAGAAAGCGGTGATTATGCGACGAAGCTATTCTGTATTCAATGTGATTGAGGTCTCCGTTTTGCATTTTCTCTGTTTGGTTATGGAATTGTTTGGCTGCGTAGATTGCGGTCAACTTGAATTTTCCAGGCTCTGAGAAAGGTGAAATCCGCCGAAACGTCAGCTTATTCGTGAATAAAAAATTAAAGTAACACCTCGCGTTTGCTCAACAAGAATATAGAGGAAAACAGGGACCCTTCATGAAAACATTATGAACAATTCGAGTACACTGGAGAACATTCGGGATCCAATGTCAGAACGAATGATTTTTAACACTGTCATTCCTAAACAGCATTGGTTGAGGCCTTGAAATGTTCTAAATGTTCGTTTACGATCTGTTTCCTACGTTTCTTCTTTATCTCTTCGTTACTGATCTCATTTTGCAGTAGAAATACTCTCTGTACACGTGCTTACATCTTTCGTTACAAAGAGATTTGTATTAGAATGGTTTTACACCTAGAGGACCCTTTCTTCGGTTACTGTTCTCACCTCCATTGGCTTCCAAGAGCAATATGGTAAAGGTAATCCATCCGGACCAGTAGGACATGGAGCATCAAGACCAGGTATGCCCTAGAAAAGGTTAATAGATTACAACCAATCGGGTTTTCTGTTTTAGGCCAGTATACGAAATAAATTTGAAGTGTAATTCGAACCTGATCTCCTTTTTCTCCTCTTGGACCAGGATGGCCATCTGCTCCCCTTTCGCCTGGTGAACCTGGATGACCTGGTGGTCCCTGAGGTCCCTGGAATGATTCCTCATAATGGGACACCTTGGAACACATTTGACCATGTTAGAATTCGATATATACTCTTATGGTGCTCTTATTTTACTAGCAGCACAAAAAGTGGTTAATAAGGAACTAAATTTCTACATTCTTTAGAACACATACTGGAAATCCCATATCGCCCTTCGGTCCTATCGGTCCTTGCTTGCCCTGAAACAACCTTTGTTGGAAGCAATTCATCTTAGTACTGCTAGATGGACAACAATCTCACAACACTGCGCCATGTTCATACGCCAACTTATCTAACAATCTAACAGCACAAATCACATGGGCTTTTATCTAGAGTACGGCGTGCACATGCAATTTACCATTGACTGGTAAATGATTCAGACGGAATGATACGACATTGAATGTCCCGATCCCGAAATGGCCCCGTGTGAGGCCTAGGATAACAGTGTCATCAGTGTCCTTTTATTAGCTGTGAAGTCATTGGAAAATGCCTTGTGTAGTACAATCGACTTTGAGCGAGTGTTTAAAACTAATGCAACAAAAACGAATATCAAATACGAACTCCACTGCTTACCATTCGTCCTTCGACCCCAGGAGAGCCACGTAGTCCCATCGGCCCTGGTGGTCCCTGAGCAATCGTCAAATCTATTTATGTAAGAATCGGGGAATAGAGAATAGCAACATCATAATTAATTGTTGTTTATGAATCTCCCGTTAGTAGTGGAGAATAAAATTCTTAAAATGTTATGTACAAAGCACCACAAAAAAATAAAAGTATATGTTAATATGGAAACAAATGCCATATCTATGTGTATCTATTTTATCTATCTGTTTTAAATACAAGATTATGGAACTTACTGGTAAACCCAATGAACCAGGTTGACCCGGTAGACCTGGCCCTCCACGTTCTCCTTTCTCACCAGGTGGACCAGGCAGTCCAGGTGGACCACGTGGCCCTGGTACACTTCCGCCACCCGGTGAGGTTACTTCGTGGACTTGACCCTGCAACGTTTGTTAAAGATACAACCAAAAATCATATTGGAAAGTGGGAAAAGAACTAAAATGTTTGAAATTTTATTTAGCGGGATTCTGACTATTTACGAACGACTTCGATGCGAAAACGATCATTCAACCACCTTTATCATTCGTAGAAATTTACAACCCGAACATAAGGAAATTACAGTGATTTCTGCGATTTTTTAACTAGAATCAATCCTATTTATTAATGTAATAGTATGAGTAAGAATCGTACCGGTTGTCCAGGTAGTCCGGGCGGTCCAATATCGCCCCGATCACCCTTCTCGCCTGAGTGTCCGGGAAGTCCTTGTGGTCCTCGTGGTCCTGCCGGACCAACTGGACCAGTAGGTCCCTATAATACTTACAACTTCCTATGTTATTTTGCAACTATGATTTGTTCACTCGAAAGTGTAGAAAGTGTATGATATATTATTTTTACACCTACGTTCACTAAACTGTCATTCAATGTCATTGAAGAACTATGTATCACTTGTACCGCCTGTCAAGCTATTGATCGTCGAACGACTCGAAAGGGCGTCAGTAAATCTTCTTTTTCTCCTAGTTGCGTGTAAGACTAATCTAGTGGGTTTTGCTTGCGCGAGGGACTCGTTGAGTACCACATCTTTCTCCTAGGGTTTTCCTGAAGAACTCTGAGCATTGGCTCGGTGGTCTCCCTACAGTATGTTCGACATCCCAAAGAGTCCAGTAGCTAGCAGCTCTTGTCTGTCGATTGTCGCTCATACGCACTACGTGTTCCGACCACCTTATGTTCGACAGCTTGGCGTACTGAACGGCAAATTTGATTTTTGAATGTTGACTCAGGTTGTAGCATCGGATACGTTCCCTCACGTGTGTGACATGGGATATTCCTAGCATCGTCCTACCAACTGCGCGTTCAGTAATGCTAAATGATCTTTGATCCTGCTTACGCAGCAGTAAGGTTTCTAACACATGCGTTAGAGCAGGAAGAATCGTGAAGTCGAAAGGATGGGCACAGAGTCGGGTGTTCTTTGTTCTCTTCATTACGTATTCATGCTAGTGAAAACTCCCCAAGCCGCACGCTTCCCTCTGGTCAACTCTGGACCCAGGGCTAAGCTTTTTAGGTTGATTTCCGGAATTGTGCATATACCCGTAGCTGGAGGATTCGCAGAAATTCACTCCATTGAGAATGCATGGCGCATACAAAACTAATCCATTCTTCGTGAACGAGGTTTTTACTGAGATTTAGTAGAGGGCCAATCTTTCCATAGGCGTTATCAAAGTTGGGAAGCATTCGTTACACCCGGCTAATGCTTCATGTTATAGGAATGAAGCCATCAGCGATGCGAAGATGATGCAATTCCGGCCCTCGACCTTCCTTGTTGTCCCATTCCAGTGTTGGCATGACGTTCTCGAAGGTGGCGGTAAACGATTTTAGCGAGGTTGTATCGCCTTGTCTAACCCCTACTTTGACGTCGATGTCTTTGTCGATCTTTGTAAAACGGTAATATTAAGGCTCTGAAATGTTTGTATAGCTCACGAAGAATCTTTACATGTGAAACAGCCACAATGATGCTGAGATATTTGCAACTCCTCCGTTCCGGACCGCAGCTCTCTACGGTGGGGAACGAACGCGCTATTGTCCTTTCCGGGGAGTAACGCGCTTACCACCACACCATGCGGGGTTGTTTTAGAAATAATACTCTGCCGTGAAAGCTAGTAAAAGGCAGTAAATAAAAAGTCAACACTGTGAATTTCAAGCCTCAGCTTAACTGGGTTCAATACCGATGTGGGCTCCCCAGATAAATCCCGTTGACAGGTGATTGCTGATGGCAAAAGATCGATAGAACTAGCTGAGAGACAAGCGAGACGAAGGACCCGCATGGTGTGGTGGTGAACGCGTTACTCCCCGGAAAGGGCAATAGCGCGTTCGTTCCCCACCGTAAAATCCTGCGGTCCTGAGTTTTGCAAATATCTCATCATCATTGCGGTTGTTTCACATATATTACCTTGCCGTGAAATCCAGTAATAGGCGGTAAATAAAAAGTCAACACTGTGAATCTTTACATGCTCGGTAGGGACGCTCTGGCGGTCAGCAGTTCCATAACTGCTTCTATCTCAACAGGGTCAAAAGCCATCTTTAAACTGATCAAAGCGGGACAGAGAAGTCTCTTGTACCGTCGCGATACTTTAGTGAGTCTTGTTATCGTGTGGATAGAGTTCACCTTACTGATTTTTTTTTTCGAAACCCTGTTTGGTTGCATGGCTCTCCTTTCGTCCAGTGTTCAAACAATGCTGTTTAAGACGAATCAAGTGGAAAGTTTGTAGAAAACAATCAGCAAGCAATTGGACAATATTTGCTGGTTTCGTGCAGGCCATCGTTCTGGAACAACACCGCGGTCTTGCTGCTCTTCCACTGACTATTAACCCTGTACTCCTATAGATAACGTGTGAAGAGCTGAGCCAGTGTGTTTACGAGGATTGGCGGAAAGTTCTTCAGGTATTCAGATTATATGCTATCCAGACCTGGTGTTCTTCGATTCTTCAGAGAAAAAAGAGCATGTAGGATTTCCGAAGGGAGAGCCGGTGATATGACATATCCATTCCTTATTTCATAGGGTAGGAGGAGGTGGCTATTAAGGAGATCCCAGTAGTTATCCTGTATGATTTTCTCTAGTGCCTTTCTGGAAGCTGCAACTATTCAATCTGGGCGTGGGAGAACAATTATCTCGGTTTCAAGAATGGCGAGACCGGCTGGTTTTACGAATGCTTTTCCCAGTCTCTGCAGCTTCGACGATTACTGCTGCTCTTCTCTCTCTAAGATCCTCTTTTATCGCCTGTCTGCATTGTTTTGCAAGTTCGGACGTGAGTTCGCGGTTTCCTGGCTCGTGCGATTCCACGCTGGCGTATCAGCTCGAGTGTTTTTGGAGAAAAACGTCTCTTGCTGACTTTCGAATCCTCAACTTTCATAGCGCGAACGTGAAGATGTCCAGTGAGCCGATCGCATTCTTCGCCGATGTTATCGAGAACAGCATCTTCCTAACATCCGACCGATGAATTGAATAAGTCCCAGTTTATGGTGGTTTTGGGACTTCGGTTTTTGAATTTAGCTGCTTTTTCTCCTTTCCGCGAGGAATAGAATCTTGCACGAAGGAGACGGTGCTCTGATCCCGTGTAGAATTTTGGGACAACAGCGACATCGATAAGGCAAAACCTTCTATTTACTATGATTTGGTCTACTTCGTTGTGGTACTCTCCACTGGGAGACTCCCACGTCCAACGCTCAGTGCGGACCCTCTGAAATTGCGATTTAATATCAAGCGTTTTGATTCTCATGATAAATCCAGGAAGCCACTCACACTGCTTTTCCATTCTAATCCGTGGGTCCCAATGTGACGTTCTTCAGATGATGATCTTCTTGGTTCAGTCTTAACGTGAAACTCTCCAATGATGACCTTGAAGAATGTATGGTCTTTTCTGTAGAGCTTCTCCAAGTCCATACAGAACGCTTCGACTTCTTCCTCATCATAGTTTGTTGATATCGGCGCGTAAACGACGAAGATTGTTAAAGCCGGTATTGATCCACATCTTTTTGAACATAAACGTCCGATTCGGGTTGTAAGCTGTTCGAATAAATTGATGTTCATGGACAAACTCGTGTTAACGAGAACGCCGACGCCGCCGACTCCTCTACTGTCGCATGTTCCGAGGAACAGTTGTTCTGCGGTGTCATAGACGGCGTTGAATGGGTGGCGTTTTCTCGTCTCAGCCAGCCCGATGACGTCGTATCTCATGGTTCCTGTCTGTATGATCAAGTATTCTATCTAGGACTCAAGAGCAAGTGAGTGTGCATCGTTGGTATAGATCATTGCTTTAGTCTTCTGTGATTTAAGGACCCTTGAATGGGCCTGAGAGTTCAGCAGCCGTTGCATACTTATCCTACTTAACGCTGCCATATCGGGCTCTTTCCTGGTCAGCGAAATGAGGGTCGCTTATTTTACTGTGTTTATTGTTCGACACCCACGTACGGCTTGCTGAGTTCTCAGCGTGAGGATTGGGTATTCTCATGGATAGTTTACCAGTCTCTTACAGAGTAAATACGAGTGCTAGTTTGTTAGATCGAACTCCTAATCTCCACCCATACACTTTGCTGTCACTTGATTGTGCATTCTGACAAATTGACCTGTAGAATACAGTTCGCATAAATGAGAAGATATTCACGCACTTTTGCATGAAGACATCATCGTAAAAAGAAGGTACATGTCAATCGGTGCAGCAGAAACAGAGAGTTCATCTTCTAGATCCACCTGTGTATCAGAGGAGTAAAGGTCGCTGTTGGTCCTCGATTAACCCACTATTCACCACCTCTTACGCATTATGTTGCTTCGTAACTAAGTGACATGAGATTTCTGTACCTGGGAGATCCGTGGGCTATGTAATAATGCTATGTAAAACCTAAAAAGTGCTTTTAAACTGCTTACAGGAGGACCAGTGACACCAGGTAGACCAGGATAACCATGTTTTATCCGGATTTCTTTCAATTCCTTCTTTAGAATAGGCATTAGCTCTCGAACAAGAGCGTCAGACTTCTCCATTGCAAAGGTGCAGTTTTGAGGACATACTCCGGGTTCTCCAATTTTACCCTTAAATAACAACAGTACTTATAACATTGCAAAATGCTAAATTAGCAAGAATATTATAGAAAATTAGATTATAAGGTTGCATTTCTTGCGAATTGTTAGACCGCAGGGGTAGAACTACGATATGCGTTTAGTTCTCCAAATTATTTTCACAACTATTTAAAAATGTAGCCTGTAGATCTCAAAATATCCATAACGAAAGTTCAAGTGGGAGAAATAGCGTGTTATTACCCACTGTATTTGTCTAGGACATATGAAGCGTAGTTACTAGAGAATGCACGCCTGGCCGTTTGCTCGTCCCCAGCCTGTGTTAACCATGCTCCCACCAGCCTTTTGGGTTGGCATATTCTTGCCAGATTTGTATGCGAAAAGCTCTTTCCGATGCACAAATTCCTATCAGAGTCTGGATTGAGGACCAGGGAAAGCTCTAGAGCTATCATGATCTCAGAGGGAATCACGTCGGTCAGTATTTGTCGATATCCATGAAAGAAACAAATTCCTTAAATGGGAGCTGAGACTACACACAGATCGGAAGATATTCGCGGATAATAAGTGCGAGGAAACAAATCGAATGCTCGAAGAGATGTGATGTTGGATCATAATAAAGGGTAAGTGACGAATCGTTCGGCATTGCTCAATCGTTTTAGGCAACTCTATGCATTCGACTCCATTAATCATCGAAGCTGTGATTGAATGCATATAGGCCAATAAAATGACTTTCGGTATCGATCAGATGTATCAATTGAGTATTTTAACTCTCAAATGTCGAATCTCAAGTTTTTAAATTGATTCTCAGTTCTAATTTTACAATTCTACCGTCGTGAGTTTTATAGTTATTGATTCCTTTAGTTTTATAGTTTGCTTCCCAGCTTTCCGCTTTCTTCTTTCTATTCTTCATTTAAAAGAAACCGAATTCTTCAATGCGAATGCAACTAGAGAATTTTGCATAGAAATTTTTTGTAACAAAAAGATGTTAACAATATCGATTTCTAAGATGATCCTCCCAACGGATTACCGCCTCATGGTGGCTGGAGGTGTTCCTGGGTGTTGGACTGCGACGTACAGCGGAGGATTCATCTCCTGGTAGGGTCTTCCAAGCTGAGAAGGAGTCCGGCGTTTCCATCAGCAAGTCTAGTTAAGAGTAAACCAATTCCAGGATCCACCACCGTCCTGGTATGAAACTAGCCGCATGATGGAAAGTCTTTCTCTGTTCCACAAGGGCTGCGACTGCCTGTGGTGGTAACGATCTGGGCCAGACTTTGGCCAGGCTGACCTCGAGATTCCAGGGAACCACAATGGTTTAACCAGCAAATCTCCGAAAAATGGTTATTGTGCTGGGCCCGCACAACCAGTGAGGACGGCCCGTTCAAGTATCAAGTAAGTAACTCCCAAACTAGCCTGGTATCAGCTTATCTGCACCAAGAATTTGGCTACTTTGGTCTCCCGGGGTATAATATTGAACCAATGACCATATTTGTACTACCCCTATCTACCCCTGACCACTGTGCTGAATGCAGTGCGATTTACAAATAAATAGACAGATAAATAGATTTTCTTTAGCTTCGAAATCCTTATATATCGTAACTGAGAATTTAGCTCTACTTCTTTCAATTTGAAGTTTTTCGTTTATTGTTAAAATTCCTATTTAGACCTGTAAGCGGAAAGTGATTTTGAAGACTCACCAAGCAGATGTTACTGTACGAGGCACAAAACCAAACACCAAGAGACAACACGGTTAAATGAGTGTGTTCAAAACACAACGGCGATTTTTTATGTGATTACGAACGCAATCACTCCACATGCACTGTCAAGACAGCTCGTGCTTCGCTCGCCTACTGGCTAACTAGGAATGGATGACTCATAGCGACCGACTCGCAGTTTTCTGTTGGTAGCTGAACGTGTAGCAACCAATCAGACTTGGACCGGTCTAGATGAGCTGTCCATTCGCTGGCATATGAATGTAATCAGGGATGTGCTACAGTCTTTTGATAATCCCACTGGGCGTCCAGATGGGTTGTAAAGCAGTTTTCAGGTCATATTCTGGAAAGCTACATTCAAAAGTCGATACCACCGCCCATCCCTGTTTTCTTCTATGCCGTTTTTGCAAAAAATTAGAATAGCTTACTCGTCGTCCGCGTTTTCCGGGCATTCCTTCAGGACCTGGTGGCCCCATCGGGCCCGATGAGCCAGTATCTCCCTGAAACAGTTACTGAAGAATTGGTTAGTCGGGTTAGCACAACACATGCACCTTTGATAGAAGCGATTTTGATAAGTAATTGATAGCAGAAGCTCACAATACTTATGGAAATCCTTTTAAACATTTTTGGCAGCTCTATTATAGAAAAACGGCAACGAAATTGCCTTCACTTACATACCTTTTCACCTTTCTCTCCATTAATACCGTCTCTGCCCGGTGGACCAGGAGGTCCCATGACCACCTGAAACAAATGGAGATTACTACTGGAACTTTAAATAATGTCTTCGTCATAAGATCTCTTTTTAAATTCAAATATAACATGTATGCTGTTGAAAGGTTAACCTTCGCTCCAGCAACTGCCGGTCCTCCAGGAGCTGGAGATCCGCGTGCACCTGGCATTCCGGGCTCACCACGCTCTCCTTTTTCACCCTATAAAACATGATTCGTCCACAATACAATTAAATTTGTAGAAGAATTCAAATTAGGCGATCTACTGAAACCATTTAAAAGAAAGAATTTGTAGAGAAACAGGATCTGTGTGTTCTCGCTCCGGAATAAAGAGGTATTTAGTAGAACAATTGAAGTACCACAATTGAATTACTTTTAAACACAAATTCTCCTTGTTTAGTCTTTATTTTGCAGTGTTAAATCAATAGTGGAATTTTGGATAAATGGCATCAGCATTAGAGTAAATTTGAAATTTTTATGTTATAACATGTGAACAACGTAGGCCACACAACTACCACATAACGACAAGAACAAAAAAATTCGAAAATCACGATAGATTCACATTACCTGTGGACCACGTTGACCAGGACGTCCGTCTGCTCCACGAGAACCAGGTGGACCAGGTGGACAGAGCGCGGGTTGGGCTGGCATGCCTGGCGCCCCAGGCGATCCAGGAGATCCAGGTGGTCCAGGTGGTCCGGGAGGACCGGGCGCAGCAAACGTTTGAGTATGACGATGACTGTGTGCCAGCATCGATACTCCAGGCTCTCCCTACACAACACCAACAATCACGATCACAAAATGACAAGACGGACTGGTGGAGAAATGGTTGATAACAGATAAGTGAAACTGAGCCATAATTCATTCGTTCAATATAGTTTCAAAACAGCTTAATTCCTTTTTCTCCAAAGACGTCTTTGTAGTGATGATAATGATGGAAATCTGTGTATGTTTTATGAAATATAAGTATTTCTGAGTAGCTGGACGGTTAATCTTCCGTCTTCACGGAAATTATGTGAAATCTTTTCTACCTTCTCTCCTCGTTCACCTTGCGGGCCACGAAGTCCAGGAACACCATCACGTCCTGGTTCACCCTGATCTCCTTTTGGTCCAATCTAAAATCGAAGTTTTTTATTCACGGACATAGGATAACTACATCTTCCCAAATTCTCGAATTATACGAATGCATTCCTACCTTACTTTCTCCGTCGAAACCTGGCAATCCTCGTTCACCTTTCATTCCAGGTTTGCCTTCGCGTCCTTCCGGTCCAGGAGGACCAGGGAGCCCTTGTGGCCCAGGTGGTCCTTGGATCATTAGCGGAGAGTTTGGCATCGGCGATCCAACCTGAAGAGATAAACAGCTTTGTGATGGAGAATCTTGCAAAACTTGTCTACTGGACAGCATATTTTTTGTACAACGATAACCACCACTAGTATCCTTAGAGACAAATTTCTTTTACAAAAAAGGTGGCTGGACCGCCAAGGGTTTTTTTGCGAATGAGCGTAGAGCAAAATGAAAGTTGTGCACTTGTTTCAAGTGAAGACAACGACCACTTTCGATAGTAATTATGAATGTTAGTGATAATTTGTCGAAAAAAGTTTCTAGTAAAAGAAATTATTTTGCAGACGATTGCAGGAGACCGAGATTACTGTCATAAAATGCTATTACGTACTAAGGCCGTCCAGCAAAGTTCGTCAGAAGATTCTTTTTTTGAGTCATTTTTTCGATTTCTTTTTCTTACTCTACCATTCTAGCGTAGAGCCGATTAAAGTCGCTACTGTACAGATAGCATAATAAAGACGGTGACGGTGATTATTTTAGACGATCATCATTTCCTAGAAGTTAGGGCCAAATTTTTACGAATCGGTAAATAAGCTAATGAAGAGAAAGCTGTGTGATATAAGCAACAAAGGGCAACAGATAACTCATTTAGGTGACGAGACGACTGAACAATGAGCCAAGCGATGCCGTTGCTACAGACGATAAGACAGGGCCTGGTTCAAGACAATGCACCACAAAAAAGCTAAAATAGAAGATTAAGTAAACAAGAGGTGCTATTTTATTTCTTTATTTACGCACAAGCTGACGTTTCGGCGGATTTCGCCCTCCTCAGAGCCTGGAAGGGTCAAGTTGACAGCAATCCATTGGGCCAAACACCTCCATAACCAAACAGAGAAAACCCTAAACCAAGNACAAGAGGTGCTATTTTATTTCTTTATTTACGCACAAGCTGACGTTTCGGCGGATTTCGCCCTCCTCAGAGCCTGGAAGGGTCAAGTTGACAGCAATCCATTGGGCCAAACACCTCCATAACCAAACAGAGAAAACTCTAAACCAAGACTTCAATCACATTTAGCATAGCTCTGCACACTCACCGCTTTCTATGAGTCTTCCACTGAGTATGTCGCGTGAAGACCGACCGCACAGAATTCACATGGAAACGTAATGTGCCCTTCCCATCAGAATAATAGGTTTATATACTGTCCAATATCACGCATGATAACGAGGCATTCTTCGCTGCGGTTCATTTTCGGATCTAGTTGACTCTAGAGGCATTCTGGATTAATTCCAAGAATCCGAAAATGAACCGCAAGGAGGAATGCCTCGTTATCATGCGTGATATTGGACAGTATATAAACCTATTATTCTGATGGGAAGGGCACATTACGCTTCCATGTGAATTCTGTGCGGTCGGTCTTCACGCGACATACTCAGTGGAAGACTCATAGAAAGCGGTGAGTGTGCAGAACTATGCTAAATGTGATTGAAGTCTTGGTTTAGGGTTTTCTCTGTTTGGTTATGGAGGTGTTTGGCCCAATGGATTGCTGTCAACTTGACCCTTCCAGGCTCTGAGGAGGGCGAAATCCGCCGAAACGTCAGCTTGTGCGTAAATAAAGAAATAAAATAGCACTTCGTGTTTGCTGAAGAGAAGTAGAAAGATATATATTCAATCAATGCCGAGGTTAATAGAAAGTCGGACATGGGAGAAGATTAAGCGTCCACAGCAGTTCAGTATACTGTGTATCCACTGTAAGGATGACCATAGATAATTTATTGATTCAAGGTCGTTCAGCCACATGAAGGGGTGCCTTAAAAAAGGATGAAACTCTCAGCTTTGGTCAATCCCTTAGGATGCGCTATGCATTCGACTTCATTAAGCATCGTTTGGAGATGATTGAATGCATATCTGGCCTTTACAATAATTCACGGTGGCGTACTGATGTATCGAACCAGTGCTGCTATCCTCTAAGGCAAATCTGATGCCAATTTTCCTACCCCGGAGGGATGGAGGGCCGGTGGGCCACTGGCGCGGTGACCGATTCCACGTGCGTGTTGCAGGACACCTCAGACCACTGGGCCACGTACGCCAATAGAGGCCCCTTAGTAAAGAAAGATAGATATGAAAGAAAACGTAGAAGGATAGTAAAGTAGGGAAAAAAGGCACACATAATTGGGTAAAAAGCGATAATATTGCAGTGAGCTACTTCGAAACAATAGGGTTAACCTATTAATTATACAATAATATTCACATAGTGTTCAACTCATAGAAACTTTTAGCTAAGAACTATTTAGAACTTCATCTACAGTTACTAAGGACTGTTTATTTTTTAAACCTCAGAAATTCTGGGAAACTAAAGCGAACTCCATATTCATCAATGGAAGATTCATAGAAAGCGGTGACAGCGCAAAGAAGCTATCCTGTGTTCAAAGTGAATGAAATTTTGGTTTAGCATTCCCTCTGTTTGGTTGTGGAGATGTTTGGCTGGGTAGATTGCGGTCAACTTAACCCTTCCAGGCTCTGAGGAAGGCGAAATCCGCCGAAACACCAGCTTGTGCGTAAATAAAAAAATAAAATAACACCTCGTTTTTACCAAACAAGAATACAAAGGATTAACGCGAACTAGTTCAAACTTGACGACGATGCGAATTGTGGTTTCGTTCGAAACTCGGATTGTTCATTTAGTAAGTTCCTCTACTGACTCAAGAAAAAAATGTTTGCCTTTTGACTCGACACTATATATCAGTTAAGTCCACTTGCGTCATTAGCGATGGAATGAAAAAAAGAAAACACGATGATCCAGTTTATTCCTTTATTATTCGAACCGTATCTTAGTAACAAATTTTTTCTGTCTTTTTAAGTTTCGGACAAGCAACCTCATTAGATGGAAAACTTTACCGCGATTTTACCATGACTGGAAAATCCGCGTTCGCCTTTCGGACCAGGATAACCAGGTGGACCAATCGGACCACGTTCACCGCGATCACCTTTGGCACCAGGAGTTCCCTGAAATCTGCAAACAGTGCAAAACAATGACGATGACGAATAACTGAATGCCGACACATTCATCAACACAACACAACACATGAACTTAAGAAAAACCATCAAATGATTGGGAACAAAGATGACGTTGAGGTTTGAGCCACAACAAAATGTTAGAGAGTTATTTTTAGTTGCTTTTCTTAAAAAACATTTTCAAGCCAGTTTTAATAAGCATTTAATATCACTATAATTAAGAATGTTTTTGATTAGCTACCGCTTATTACTCTCGAAGCTAGTTTTCTGTCGCTATTTTCTTTCTTTTCGTTCGTCGTTGCGGCTTTTATCGATGACGTCATTTCTAACAAATTCTACACACTAGTAAATAAAATTTTAAAAGAAAATTTTCAAAAATATTTGTTTGTTTTTTTTCAGCAAAGAATTTAATGAGAGAACTAGAACCAAAAGATGAAGCTCTCGGCGTTGACTAATGCTGCGGAATGCGCCATGCATTCGACTTCATTAAACATCGTTTGGAGGTGATTGAATGTATATTTGGCTTATACAATGACTCATGGTGACCCACCGATGTGGCAAGGCAGTGCTACTATCATCTCAGACAAGTCTGGTGCTACTTTTAGAAAAGAAATTTTAAGAAAATATTTTTTTGACAGAAATCTAATGAGAGAACATAATCAAGAAATGGCTTTAAATCTTCGTGAGTTGTACAAAAATTTCACAACCAAGATATCATCATTCTACAACGATATTAACATCGACGTCAAAGGAGGAGTTAGGCAAGGCGATACCATCCCGCCAAAATTATTTATCGCCACCCTCCAGAACGCCATGCGAGTATTGGTGTGGGACAACATGGGAGAGAAAATCGATGGCCGACAAATCCTTCATCTTCGCTTTGCTGAAGATATCGTTCTTATGACATCAAACATTAGCCAAGCGGAACGTATGCTTGCCGACTTTGATAAAACCTGTGGAAAGATTGGTCTTCGACTAAATCTCACAAAAACGATGTTCATGAAGAACGGTTTAGTCTCGTATGCCCCATTCACGCCCAACGGAACGAATATCTCCGAATGCTCCAGTTATGTCTACCTGGGTCGGGAAATCCATATGATGAACGACTCAGCTCCACAGCTGAGCAGAAGGAAACGAGAGGCTTGTGGAGCTTTCAAGAGCATCGAGGATGTAGTGAAGAGAACAAAGAACACCCTACTCCGTGCCAGCCTTTTCGACCCAGCAGTACTTCCTGCCCTAACGTTTGCGTCAGAAACCTGGTCGATGTTTAAGCAAGATGAAAGGTCACTCAGCGTTATCGAACGCGCAGTCGAAGGGACGATGCTAGGAGTATCCCGTTCCACACAAGTAAGGGATGGGATCCAAAACTCCAACCTGCGTCAACGATCAAGAATTAAAGATGCTCTTCTGTACGCCAAACAGTCGAGGATAAGGTGGACCGGACGCGTAATGCGTATGAATGACAACCGATGGACAAGAGCCGTTAATGTCTGGATTCGTGGTGATGTCAAACGTGCAGGAAGACCACCGACTCTATGATCAGAGTTCTTCACGAAAAGCGCAGAAGAAAGGTATGATGCTCGACGAATCACTAGAGCGAGCAGAACCCACTGGGCTACTCTTCACGCGACAGAGAAAAATGGAAGACACTGGCGCCCGCTCGAGTCACTCGACTATTATCGGGACTACAGGTAATACGGGTGATACAAGCTTTAAAGCGCAAAAGAAAGATAAGAGGAAAATTCAGAAGAAGTTTTAAAAAGAGAAATGAGAGTGGTATCGATTAGGTGTTGAAAATAAGACGCTGTGAGTTTAAAATGTTTAGAAAAAACATTAGTGGCACTCAGAATAACTTGTAATAAACATATTTAAGCATGTAGAATTTTGCGTCTCTGGCGATAAATTTGAGAAAAAAAACGAAAAGCGACTTGCTTATGAAACGTGGCACAAATTTTTCTGTGCTAATCATTGGCGGAAAAAAAAACATTGAGAGGTTATAAGTGGAAGGGTGGCTCAATATTTACCGTATCCATCTTGTTTCTCTAAGAATTTCACCTTAAATTTTAGATTTTTAATACGGTAAACGGAAACGATTAATTTCGTAACGGAACAAGTTTCTTAACACTTCATACGTTCGTTTCCATGTACAGGAGAAAATCAGCACACTTCATTCAACATACCGTTAAGCCCCGTGGGCCATCCAAACCTATAGGACCCTGAAATCGTCAATTAGTCTGGTTTCTTTTTCTGGATAATTATGGATTTTTTAAACAACCGATTAGACTGCCGCGAAAAAAATGCTGCAAAAAAAGATGGGGAAGACAAAGAAAAACACACCGGAAAACCAGGATATCCACGAGCACCTTTGGAACCCTGAAATGTGAAATACGAAATTTAAGCGAGCGACGGAAAAAGTGAAGAGAAATGGAGAAAAGTGGGGACATTTGAAGAAATTGAGACGAAATATAGAAGAAAAGCAAAAGCTTAAGATCTTAAACTTCTAGAGATAGTTTTTTAGCAAATAAATGTTAGCCATTTCGGTTATCTGAAAAAGCCGTCTGAAAACTGATTAGAATCATCGAACGTGCACACTTTTGGTCGCATGGTGCTCAACAACAACAACAACAATATCAACCCGCCTTAGCGGACAACTAACTAAATCAATAGCAAATAACGATTTCAATGCCATGAGCAATCCTTGGAAATTATCCATGCTACGTGAATAACCACAGCCAGAGGATACAGTCAGCACATCAGTCATTACGGAATTCGGACTGATGACGCATACCGGCGGCCCGGGTGGTCCAGGCGTTCCACGAAGTTGAATTCCTTGCCCATCAGGGGTGTACAGCATACCGTATGCACGAAGTTTGCGTTGAAGCCGAGCGTTAAGCGGCTAGAATCACACAAAATTTCACAATTACCACTAACGAATCCTACTACACTACGATTACGGTAACACCATAAATGCGCACAGTAGGCGAAGGCGATGATGAGATCTTGCGACGATAGTATGGAGCCGGTAAGCCCTAAAGATTATGAATAGGATTGAATCACAAGCACGCAAACATAAAAGCTGCATAATGTATTATGAATCAATGGGTTAGGCATCTTTCTAGAAAAAAACAAAAAGAAACACTTTAACTCATTCATTCTTCCATGCTGGAATGAAAAGAAAGGGGTAGATTGGGACTAATGAGAAGAGCACTTCATTGAGATAAAGGGAGAAAATAAAGTAACGAAAAGTGTTAATGCAGTTTTAAAAAAAGTTTAAACACTATTATAAGCCTCTGCTGCTGAAAAGTTGCGCTCACCGGTGGGCCAGGAGGTCCTCTTGGTCCTAAAATAATTTGTAATCAGTAACAACATTTATCAATGCTAGTTATCCGTTATCATTTTCGTTAAGTTAAATGAATTTAGCGCTATTTCTCAAGTTTACTTTAACGATGTCGAATCCCAAGTTTTCAAATTGATTTCCAGTTCTAATTTTACAATTCTACCGCCGTGCGTTTTATAGTTATTGATTGGTTTGCCTCCCAGCTTTCCGCTTTCTTCTTCCTATTCTTCATTTTAAAAAAAAGCCGAATTCCTCAATTCGAATGCAGCTGGAGAATTTTGCATAGAAATTTCTTGTAACAAAAAGATGTTAACAATATTGACTTCTAAGATGATTCTCCCAACGATTTACCGCCTCATAGTGGCTGGGACGTGTTCCTGGGTGTTGGACTGCTTGTACAGCGGAGGATTCATTTCCTGGTAGGGTCTTCCAAGCTGAGAAGGAGTCCGGCGTTTCCATCAGGAAGCCTAGTTAAGAGTAAACCAATTCCAGGATCTACAATCGTCCTGGTATCAAAATCGCATGGTGGCAAATCTCCCTCTGATCCATAAGGGCTGCGACTGCCCGTGGTGGTGAGGACCTGGGGCAGACTTTGGCAAGGCTGACCTCGGGATTCCAGAGAACCACAATGGCTTAACCAGTAAGTCTCCAAAAATGGCTATTGTGCTGGAGCCCGCACAACCAGTGAGGACGGGCCGTTCAAGTACCAGGTAAGTAAGATGATCGTTTATAAGAAATTTGAAATAGCGAAGAAAACCACCGTTGCATACTTGTTGATTATTTTATACACAAGGCGTGACCTTTTTATAGAAATCCAGCGAAAAACAAAAGGATACTAAAGGATTATAACTGGGTTTGAGTTTTTCAAGAAAACATCATCCATTTGATTGGTGTTGTTTTCTTTCCTCAATAGTGAAATCCCGTTGGGAAGAAGTAAATCGTTGGACGGATGGGATGAGGCTTTGAACGAAGTAAGCATCAAAGCATCTCATTAATCTGTCTCTTGTCATCGGTAGATGTAATATGACTGATATGTTCGAAAGATATGCGACGTTACAACTCGTCCAGATATCGTTGGCATGATAAACGCCATTGTGGTCGAGTTTTCAACGAAGTACCTAGTTATCTCTTTGAAAAGCCAGGTTGAAAGTGCGATGATAAACTAAACAATAATGTTGAGCCACTGTGATACGGTGAAAAGATAAAATCCAATGATTTTATCATGGAAATAGGTGGAAATATAGACGATTTAAAATCTTAAGAAAATCAACATTTCCTCACATCTTCTTGCGTATGAATAACAATTTGTAAACACTAAGCTTTATCCCATAACTTCTTAGCGGTCTTGTGTTATTGATTTTTAAACTGATCGTGCGTTCATAGGTTTAAAATATTTAGTGGAATCAAAAAAATCGATAGACATCTAACCAATACACAAACAAGAATATGATTCGATAAATAGAAATGTTTCACTACCAACTCGTACGAGTTCAGATCTGGAAGGGTTAACGCCTACAAATTCCCTCACAACAAAGGATTTGTGTCGAAACTACTGTAGGGCTCGTCTATTAATAAAAACGGCTATGACTTTTCCCACCTTTAACTATGTTGTCAAGCACAGATAGTTTTATACGTAAGTAAGTTTCACGTGAGAAGGATCATCACTGACAAAAGGACATTAGTTGAAAAGACGATTGAAAATGAATAAATGAATAACGACGAATCATCTCTGTTATTTTATTTTATTCACTCCTCCATTTCACTACCCCCCCTCCCCCCCACCTACCTGCTCCGTTTTATCTGTTTTTTGCTTGTCAAGTATAGGAAACTCTACAGACGACTTAACACTAACAAAACTCAGTTGAAAAAGTCTAGTATTGTAAGTTGTCAAGAAAGCTGGTAAAAATAAACAAAAAGGAAACCCGCCTGGAGGACAATGACAGTCATGAGTGTTTCGAATTGTTCGACTTAATCGGGACAATGTGGTTTTGTTCAGCATCGTGAACGTTTTCTAAAAATGATTACGGTAACATTTGATGATGTCTTAAGAAGTTCTCCCTGAAAACAATGGAAAGTCACCATATTACTCTTTCAGTCTTGTGTTTTTTGTGCAGAAAAGTTTTATTATTCAAAATTACGCAAAATATAGACCTACTTACTATCTTAGGTGCAATTCAATAGACTATCCATTTACAGTGAAGCCTTTGCTCGTTCTTATCGTGCTCCACAAGTGCCCAGTGACCTCTTCTCATTGATGATAGGCACGAAAAACATCATACCTTCACTATGAGGCTTTTTTACGGTTTTTTATAAGAAGATACTTCTTAGTAACTCCCAAACGCGAGGTGTTATTTTATTTCCTTATTTACGCACAAGCTGATGTTTCCGCGGATTTCGCCTTCCTCAGAGCCTGGAAGGGTCAAGTTGACCGCAGTCTACCCAGCCAAAACCACATAGAGAAAATGATAAACTAAGATTTCAATCACAATGAACACAGAATAGCTTCTTTGCACACTCACTGTTTTCTATGAGTCTCCACTGAATAGGTCACGTGGAAACCAACCGCACAGAGTTCACAAGGAAGTTCCTGGAAGTAATGTGCTCCTCCCATCAGAATAACAGGTTTAAGTACTGCCCAGTATTACGCATGATTGTAAGATCTTTCTCTCTGCGGTTCATTTTTGGACGTTTGGAAATAATCCGGAATGCTTCGAGAGTTTTGCGCGCTTGTGTTTTAGAATCGTGTGCGAGGATCGTAACCATTAATTCAAAGTCCTCCGCGTTATGTCGCTGCGTCCTTTGCGTCTGGTGGAGTATTTGGTTTAAGTTTACCGACTGGGTGTTCTTTTATGCGGATGTAGAGCGGTCTACTCGTTTCGCCAACGTATTCGTCCCCGCACGCTTTACAAGAGATCGGATAGACTGTACCCGAATCCGCGAAATCACCGTCTCTAGCGCTGGGGCAAATTAAACAATTTTGCGTTGCACATAGATGGTCCTATAGGCAGTTACGAACTAGCTGGCGTCTTAGAGTACTTGGTGGCATTTCGGTTACGGTTACCGAATTCTCAGCCGGCTCTTAAGCATATAGCCCTTCGATACTTATTAGTGTCTCTTCTCAGCATAGACTAGCTATTAAAATTTCCCGTGTGAAAAAATCGAACTCCTCTCGCACTTTCGTGATTTTCTTGAGAATGAAACACTGTCATGCGGGTCAACTCGGCATAGAAGACCACAACGCTGTAAATCATTTAAAAATGCTCAGTATAATTTTAAAAAACTAGAAAATTTTCGTATAACCGCTCTAAACTAGTGATGTTTTGTGTGGATAAACTGCCAATCGTACATTGACGGCGATTTGTTGAGATTTACGTGAACAAGAAAAGTGAGTGGACAACTGACGTTGCAGTTAACGATAAAATCATTTGCTGATGGACAACGTTTTACCTAAGCTTGATAATTGAGCCAAACATTAAATACACGAAAGAAACGACTTTACAGCAGCAGCTAAATGACTGTTAAGTGGTCAACGTTAAATACTAAGGAGCTCAGTAGTTAACAGTTGAAGGACCTAGCTAGATGCCCTTGTACATTCCTTTATACTATAAAATGTAATAATCGAGCAATGTTTTATTATATTCGTATTCAGACGATCATTATTGTGGTCATGCCGTAAACCGTAACAAAGATGCAGCAATCACCGACCAAACATGCATTCGACTCCATTCGTAACTTAGTGAATGTGATTGGGCGCATATTTAGCCTGTTCAGTGGTTTGAAATTGCCTTCCAATGTATCAAATCAGTACTTCGTTGTCATAAACAAGTGTGGTACTCTTTTTCTAAATTCATCCATATGGAGAATGCAGTTAGCGCATGGCGTGAGATCGAATCAACGACCCTGCGCGTGTTACAGGGTAATTCTAACACCTGTGCTGCGCCTAGCCCTCTCAAGGAATTTAATAACCAGTAGTATATGTCATAATCTTAAATGGCATCGCCTATGATCTATTTGGATCTCATGACTAATAACCAAATGTTTTCTGCCAATCCCAATTTTTTAGGGCCTTATAGCAGCTAGAGATGTTCTTCGTTGATAACTCAGGGTGAACAAAACAAAATCCATGCCGTCTCCAAGGATCAAAGAGGTAGCTAAGCAAAGGCTCGACATTTTCGTCGGGAGTGCTAGTTAAGAACAACCCTGTACCACATTAAGCGCCCCAGGGTAATGTGATCGTGGAAGAATCAAGCACAGTCCATCTCATGTCGCACCTCTGTTCAGCAATTTCTTCAAGTTATTTTAATCTTCAAATTACCCCTCTGGTACTAACAAAAAACATTTTGAATGAATCAATCACAGTCGGAATTTTACAATAGACCATTTGGACACATTGTAAGGTTCTCAGATTGATTTATGAATAAATATGAGCCAATTTCGATGTGGTTATCTGATAGGCGCATCGTAAATCCTCTGGAGGACCCAGATCGTTTTGGCCACATGTGTCGGCGGCGTCCAGG